CTGCAGCAGGGAGGCAGCCGGATGGGGGTCCCGGTGGACAGGTGGGGGAGGAGCGGAAGCCCCGGCTGGCAGGGCCACCATGGGGTGATGAGGATACGCCTGTCCTTCTCTCGGGATCTTGGACACCCCCCTGGGGATCACTGGGAAGGGGGGATGGCCTGGAATAGCATTGCCTCCCAGCAGAGGAGGAAGGCGTCCCCCGTGGAGGGGGCTCCCCGGCCTGCCCTGGAGCAGAACCGATGGCATTCCTTGTTGTGGGGAGTGGCGAAGGGGTCCCCCTCTGGGGAGCCCCACCTCTCAGGCAGGCAGAGAAACTCTGCAGGGTGCACCCCCTCGTGCGGGGTGGTCGTGGCCCGGCCCAGGCTGCCTGCCCGGGTGTTGAGGCGGACTGCCCCATGGATGGCTGGGGCTGCGATGCCCTCCCCACATGCCCGTCCCAGGTGCTGACTGCTCGCCTGGCTCGTCCTGTGGGGGGCGGCCTGCCCTGCTTGTTCAGGTAGTACCGATGGACGTTTGGTTGTGGCTACCCGAACGTGTTGTCCCCGAAGGGAGCCCTGGAAGGAGGCGAGAGCCTTCTTCAGCACCAGCTTTTCTACTGAACTGGTGCCTCAGCTCACGAACGCCTGAGTGCACAGCCAGATCGGGTCGCGAACCAAAATTTGATAAACATTTTGAATCAGGTCGCTAACCCACATTGGGTGGTGACTGCGATTGCAGCCATCTCCGCCTGTCAGCCCGAGTGGGGAGGGGGCCGCAATCGCGCTGCGTGTTTGTGGGGGGGAGATGGTTGAGATCGCGTGCATCGTTCCCGCAGGAGCACAACCGCGACTTCGGTCATCTCCCCCTTCAGCCCAAGTGGGGAGGGGGCCGCAATCGTGCTGCGTGTTTGTGGGGGAGGTATGTTGATCATTAAAGGAAAGAAACATATCTATTCATTTATAAGTTTTATGTGCCGTCCCTTTTGTATAACATTAAGTTATGGTTCAGAACGGATTGCCCTTATTTGCATTCAACTTTGTGGCAAATTCGAGTGGGTCCGCGGCCAATTTGTTCCATGACCAGAAGAGTGGAACGAATGACGTTCCTTAGTGGGGCTGATGTGGGGGTGTGGCTTGTGCCGGTCCCAGAGACTTGTGCGCGCACATCTGCGCAGTGGCCGCCCAACCCGAGTTGGAGGTGTCAGTTGTGACTGTGGCGGAGGGCTCTTGGTGGCGGAGAAGGGAACCCCGGTGCTAAGGGCGTCTGTAATGCCCCCCAGCAAAGGGAGAGTCTGACCGCCAGGGTGGGAGATCCCGTGGAGGTGTGTGACCTCCCGTTGCTCCGTCCCAGCTCCTGCCCACCTTGCAGTTCAAAAGCATACAAATGCAGGTAGATAAAAAGGTGCCTCTTCGGTGGGCAGGTAACAGCGTTCCCTGCACCTCGGTGTTCAGTCATGCGGCCACATGAGCACGGAGACCGTCTGCAGACAAATGCTGGCTTCCGTGGCCAGCAAACGGAGATGAGCACTGCCCCCTAGAGTCAGGCATGACTGGACTAATGTCATGGGGAAACCTTTACCTTTAATATCAGCCATACCCCCAGAATTAGCTACCGTTAAGACCATCAGTCAGATGGACACATTTAGTACGTCGATTGCAAGACCATTTGGAGTTTGGAGAGTTATGACAAAGTTCCAGATGTAGGCGACATGACTGAATTTGAATAAATGTAGATTTTTGCACATGAATAAATGTATATTTCTGGGCATGAATAAATGAGTAAATGTATATTGTTGTACATGAAAAAGTAAGGCATCACCTGAAAATAAGCCCTAATGCATCTTTTGGAGCAAAAATTAATATAAGATCCGGTCTTATTTTCGGGGAAACACGGTAGCCCTTTTGGCCTGGCTGCCCAGACGGTGCCCTTCCTTGGCCACAGGCATGGAGTGCTCCCTCTGGAAGGTCCCCTGCATGGACCCCAGTGTGGCGGAGTTGGGTCTAGGGTGCCGGCGCAGAACGAAGAGCGATTTCTGTAGCAGCTCATAGGTGGCGTGGATGCTGGCCAGCTTGTCTTCTGAACACCTGGCAGTGTGAGCAGGTTTTGCCCACGTGCCCATCTCTGGCACAGAAGCCAGCGGGAAGGGCCGTCCGCTGAAGGCATCTGGGCACCGCAGTAGGAACAGTGGGGGATGCTGGGTGAGCCATGGGGGCCATGCCGGGGGGGCATTCTGAGTCCGGGAAGGAAGGTGAGGTGTGGGGAGAGGAGGGAGGTGTGAGAAGTGGCCTCGGAGAGCAGGAGGAGGGTCGAGGGTGGAGAAATGTTGTGAGAAGTGAGGGATTTCCCCCCTATATATATTAGAGGAGGGAAAAACATGAATGAGAGGGCAAAGCAAGCCCCGCTGAGCAGAGAAGTTCCGATCGATGAACAACTGCGTGTGTAGTTGGAACGGCACTGGTGGAATGGGCGGGACCCCCCAGGATACCCCCTCTTCTCTGGACTTCCAGAAGACATGCGAGGGGGGCTTTCGCCCACTCCCTCCGACTGAGCCCCAGGAGTCCTCCCTCCGATCCAGGCCTTGCACTTAGCAGCAGAGTCCAATCGTGAGATTGCACCGAGAACACGAAGAAGGATTTCTTCAAGTGCCTCTTAGAAAACAGCAGCCTGCAAGCTGGGCTGGTCCTGACCTGCTCCCATCTTGTGGTCACTCGCCCTGGTCACGTGCTTTCTGGGAGCTCGGCCCGGAATAGACACTTCAGCTGGTTCTGGATAGAGCTACCGGGATGTTCACAGGGTCTTTTCAGCATTCACATATAATGCCGGTTCTACCGTCTACACTGCTGCCAAGTGAAGTCCCAGCCACCGTGTGCAGTGCTGAAATTAAGGGGAAATGAGACAGACATACAAGGGGGGGGGGCGAACTTTAGGGACCTCCACCCCAACTCTGCCACCCAGCTCCTGTTCACTTGCTCCCTGGGAGCTTGGCTGCTTTTCCCCCGAGGCCCTAGACCAGCCTCTTTCGTGTTCCGCTCTGCTCAGCGTCTCGGACAAGAATGACTCCCCCTGCCCACTGCACACACACACAACTGGAACCAGCCCATTCCGCTTCAGTCAATCAGCAGTCCACCTGTGTGGAAAGGCAGGTTTCTTACCTTTAACTGTCGTTCGCCGAGAGGTTGTCTGTGCAGTCACCGGAGGACGGCCGCGGGGATGGCCCTGCCCAACGCGCCTCCTTTCCTGTGTGCACAGAGGGGCTCCACATGGTGGGGCAGGAGCGCCCTGGCGGTGCGAGGTTCTGGATGCCTCAAAGGCTGTGGCACCACAGGCGGTGGGCGAAGCCAGAGGTGCTCTGGGTTGGTGCACGGGAGTGAAAGATGGCTGCAAGGTGGACCCGGAGGGGCGAGCGGGAGGGCCGGCACTAACCAGGTCTGAAGGTAGGACAGAATTTGCTCGATGGGGCTTTGAATAGGGTCGAGCCCCTTTTCGGTAATGAAAGCCTGGAAGTCTGGAGGCCCTAGACCAGCTGGGGCAGCTTTCTCTGATGCGCTCTTTCCCACTTGGAGGCTGGAACTGGTATGAATCACCAATCCACTCAACTGCTGCTGGCTCATCAGTCCAATCCCCTTCCATTAATGAGCAATCAGCTGATGCCTCTTAGAATACAATGGACTTGCAGAGGGCCTGCTAGCTGCTTCGCCTCTTTCTCTACTACCACAACCCCTCCTCCGCTCAACTCCTGGTTGCTTGCTCCGGCCGCTCGCTCTTTGAGAACTTGGTTCAGAATAGAGCTGCCAGGATGTTAATGGGGACTGGTAGGTATTCACATATAATACCCGTCCTCTACCATCTACAGTGGCTGCCAGTTGAAATCCGGGCCCAATGTAGGGTGCGTTATGTTGACATGACTCCAGTCCTCCGTCAGCTTCACTGGCTTCCCATTGAAGTCCAGGCCCAATTCAAGGTGTTGGTGATGACCTATAAAGCCCCAAATATCTTAGGGGCTGGTTACCTGAAGGAGCACATTCTCCCCTATGTGCCCTCCCACCCTTTGAGATCGGAGGAAGAGGTCCTTCCTTGGGAGCCCTCCTTGAAGGAGATTAGGAGGGTGACTACCTGGAGCAGGGCCTTCTCTGTGGTGGTGCCCCAAATATGAAATACTCTCCCTAGAAAATTTGCCTGGTGCTGACACTCTATTCCTTCCAGCGCCGGGCTAAAACCTTTTTATTTCCCCATTATTTTAATGTTTGATTAGGTTTTGCTGCGGGTTTTATCTTATTGGAACCATTTGGATGCTGTGCTTCATTTCATTTTATGTTGCTTTTACTGTAAGTCCATCCTGAGATGCTAGTAATTGGATGGTATATGAAAGCTTTAAATAAATGAATGAAGAATAATGAATAAAAGGGAGCCATGTAGGAGCAATTGGGGTGCTGTCACGGAAAGGTCCCTTTTTCTGTTGTGCTCGGAGTCTGGCAAAAGCTTAAGTGTTACTGGTGGGGCTTGGAACAAGCATCAGACACACCCAGCGCGCTTTATAAACTATAACCTGTTCTTATCTGTTCCACTGCAGCAGTGGTGAAAACCTGATGGCAAATTCCACCCCGGCCCTGTGTTGGTCCCAAATTCTGCCTGCCTCACATTCACCCTGAAGCTTGTCTAGTGAGATTTGGCTGAACCTCAGAAAGGATGTGCAGAGTTTGGGATGAAAGCAGTCCTGGCAAGTTCTGCCTGGTGGAAATGGGGCACGGCTTCCGTGCACGTAATGCCCGCTTTCTGAGGCCGGTGTTGCAATGCCGACTGACCTTCAATCTCCATTTCTAAACATCTCCGGTTGAGCATCTCTGGATAAAACAAAACATAATGGCCCAGGGATTATGGGAGCTGAAGTCTAAGGCAGCTGTTGGGCCCCAGGCTGGAGAAAGCTGAGCTAGGTTACAGGAAGAGATTCTCTTGTAGGGAAATAAGAGAGGGACCCCTACATTGGTCGTTTGGGGTAGGTACTTGAGAAAGGAACCCTGAAGCAAGAGGAAGGAATGCTTCTTTATTTATTTCATGTTAGACAGCTGTTTGTACACAGTCTGAAACAAACCAAAAATGGTATTTGACTTTCTCTTTCAAGTCTTACCAAGTACACACATGCACAAATCAAAGGTTGCACAAGCTCCCTTTTTAAGGAAAAAAATATTGTCTGGGGAGCTGAGCAAGCTGCAAGTATCTGGTGTGGCAGATGATGCATGGCGTCGCACCTTTTTACACAAGTGTATGCAAGGCGACAAGGACATGGCAAACATCATACAAAAATGTTAAGAGTCAGAGTAGAAGATCACAGCCATTAACAAACTAAGATTGTTTCTCCAAGATGTGCAACTTGTTTTTAGTTTATGGCCTGAGGAAAGCTGGGAAAAACAACATGCTCATTTCAACAGCGTTTAAGTCAGACAGAAAGCAAAACGACAGCAAGGTTTGCGTTTCCGCACCTTGCCTGGAAACATGTGGCTGTGGGACAGCTCATGCTTCGGCAGACTGGCTTTGCCCAGCTGGATGAAGCCTGCTGAATTCGTAGAGCGGTCAACAAGGACAAGGAGCCTCCCCTGGGCTGGGGAAGATGGGAGTTGTAGTCTTGCTGATGTGTTAGGATTTCTCACCACTGCATCCTAGCACCTTTTCTTCTGGGCAGTGCTGAATGGGGATTTCCGCCAGCTTGGAAATCCTAGTCTTTGCTTTGAGGGTGCTGCCGGAAATGAAAATTGCAGAAGGGGTAGGCAGGTCCCACCATTAAGTCATGCATGGGAACCAAAGTGTTTCCTGGCTTCTTTTGCCTACTGCCGAGGCATGGGGGTGCCTGGATTCGGCACCTTTTAAACAAACCGGCACAATCTTTTCCATCCTCTGTGTGGTGCAGTTCGACCAACAGGATTCAAGACCTACAAATCCAAAACAAACTGAACCAAAATAAAAGCCAGGAAAACCAGTAAAGCAAAAGAGAACATTTTGGTAGACCTTCCACGGTCCGAGGGATGGCGGTGTTGCGATCACTCAGCATCATCACTGACTTTGTGGATCTGCCCGGACTCCCAGAGCTGAGCACGGAGGCCCCTATGGCAAATCACTTTGGTGGCATTCACAACCTGCAAACAAAACAATGCTTCCTTCAGATAATTGCCATGTAGGAAAAGCAGACCCTGCCACTGCTCTGTTACCCCTTTCTCATCTGAAATCACACATTCTCCTCAATCTTGGTAAGAGCAACACAAATCTCATGGCCCATAATTATTTCTTAGTTTTGATGTTTATATACTGCCCTATTCCAAAAGGCTCTGGGTGGTTTTCACGAGATTAAAGCTAGCAATAATTAAAATGTTGAATGAAAGCAAGGGTGAAGCTACTCTGGGAAGTAATCTAGGAAGGCCTGATGAAAGAGATATGTCTTTAATTCCCTCTTGGCATTAGCAATCCGGGATGTCAGATGCATCTCTCTTGGCAGGTTGTTCCACAGTTTAGGGGCAACCACTGAGAACGTCCTGTGGGTGGTTTGACATTCATCTTGCAGAAGCAAACTTTGGAAGATTATCTACAGGAATATATGGGCAAAAGTACTCCTGAAGGTATTTTGCAGCTGCGCGCAGCCCCAGTGGAGGTACCCAGAGGCAAATGTGGTTCATCCTTTGGAGTATTATCAAGGGCCAGGGCATTTATCATGCTGACATGATCCCACATTCATGGACATTTGTGGGTCCATTTCACAACACCCCCTCCCTTCCCCCTCCCCTCTTCCTCCCCCTCCCCCCTCTCTTCCTCTCCTCTCCTCCCCTCCCCTCCCCTCCCCTCCTCCTCTTCCCCCTCCTCTCTTCCTCCCCTCCCCTCCTCCATGTTTTGCATCCATTTTTGCAGCTTTCCTTCAGTGTGAGGAAAGTCAGCTTTTACTAACGGAGTGGAGGAACGGCGCCCCTGCCACAATTCTCAGCTCCAGACACGAAACTACCCCTTTGAACCCAAGCGAAGATGCCTTTGCGAGGTACGTCTTTGCTGGGGCTGGAGGCAGAGGCGGCCCGTTTGCTCTCAGGGCTAGGCTGAGAACTTGCATAAAGGTCCCTTCCCCAGACACAGTCCGAGGCAAGCACCTCCTTTCCATCCAGGGAACCCGGATTTCAAAAATGTAACTCCCCCAGCCTCTTCCCCCGGTACCCCGCACAAGTTTGCTTCACCTCGTTGTCAATTTCATCAGTGGGTTCAATGCCCGCATACTGGAAAAGAGGAAAGAACAGTCAGAGGAGAGGAGAGGGAGGCTGCACCCAAGGCCTGTGTTTTGCACAGACTTTCCTGCACTGGCAACTTCCAGATTTGCCAGAGCTACATCATCAATCTTGAACATCCCTCGGACCGCAAGGTGATCCAGCCGGTCAGTCCTAGAGGAGATCAGCCCTGACTGCTCTTTAGAAGGCCAGATCCTGAAACTCAAATGCTTTGGCCACCTAACGAGAAGGAAGGACTCCCTGGAGAAGAGCCTGGTGCTGGGAACAATAGATGGCAAAAAAAGAAGGGGACGGCAGAGGATGAGGTGGCTGGATGGGGTCACTGGGGCGCTGGGTGTGGGCCATCTCAGAGAAATACAACTTCCCAATGTAACGCTGCAAATTTGCAGAACGTGAGCAGACCGGAGGCACGGTGGAATCCATTTTCTCTGTCCATGTGACCACGCAAGCACAATGCGCATTGTGTGTACCTCCAGAATGGGACTGAGCTGAATGAGAAGCGAGGAGGCTGTTTGCTTTGAGAAGGAAGGACTCCCTGGAGAAGACCCTGATGCTGGGACCGATGGAAGGCAAGAGGAGGCGGGGGCAGCAGAGGTTGAGGTGGCTGGATGGGGTCACTGGGGTGCTGGGTGTGAGCTTGGGTGGACTCAGGGGGATGGTGGAGGGCAGGAAGGCCTGGAGGAGTGTTGTCCATGGGGTCGCGATGGGTCGGACGTGACTTTCCTAAACAATAACAACCACATCCAGGAGGTGCCAGCTTGAGGAACACATTCCTCATGCTACGATACTTCGAGGAAAGTTCCTTCCTGCCTGCTCCAGAGGTGACATTCAGGTTGGAACGCTGGAGCTGGAACCCCAATTCTTTCGCCTGGGGCTGCAAATCTCGTGGACACCCCTGCCCCTGCCTCTGCTCTCTTTGGGCACTTGCTAAGGCCAAGGTCCAAAAGCCTCTGCATCCAATCCTCCCTGGAATGTTTCTGCTGCAGGTTCTTTCTGAAATGGAGCTCCTTGGGCTGCCTGAGCCCCGGTTCTCTTTGCTACCGAACACTGTCGGGATTCCTTAGGATTATACACTCTGCACTTCGAAACAAAGAAGGCATCTGCACCACCGGGTAAGATATTGTTGCTATGTGGCATCACATCTCCTCCAATTAAACCAAGTAAAGTACTAGCTCAACTACAGTACGGCTCTCAACTGGGGTCTTTCCTGAACACCCGAGTACTGCAGCGTGTCCAATCCAAATTTCTGAGGGCAATGCTGGGTGTTCCTAGGGAGGCCTCCAGTGCAAAGAAAGGACTGCAGACCTGTCAGATCACCTTGAAGCAAGGATCTGGGGGCTACCCTTGTGCACTGGCTCAGTTGGTCTTGCTCCACTAACTTTGGAAGACTATTTCAAAGGCAACTGGATTAAATCAATGGAGCAGAAAAGAGCAGCGCGCTCTTGGGCCTTCCCCTCCAGGCTCTATTAAATATGGGCCTTGAACAGGCAAGGGAAAGAATCAAGCAGTGCAGAGCAGACACTCAGAGACACTCTGGCCTCAGAAGAGCCCAGAATCTTCTCTTAGGAAGGACTGGAGACTCATTGCAAGAGCTGCCTGCATCTCGAACAAGGGGAACTGCCCAAACACGGAAGGGCTTCTACCTTGGCCCACCTTAATGGACTCCCCTCGGCAGTTTGGGAGGGATGGTCAAAGCGCCTCCACCACTGTGGTATGGGACGGACGGAAACTCCAGAGCCCATCCTGTGGAGGTACGTATTCCATAGGGAAATGCATGTTGTACTTGTTTCCCAACTGATGTATCAGATCGGAACAACAATCTTTCTACACACCTGCTGTCTGGCACTCAGGCGATGTTAACATACAGTGTCGCTAAATTCTTTGCAGCTATGATGTGGTCTGAAGACGGGTCCTGAGGGAGTTTGGTTCTCCCAAGAATGGAGAATGCCAATTCTCTCTGGGAATGCCACTTACTCAAGACGACTGATATGAACGATGCTAGCAGGATATTGTGTCAAAGTATTTGCTAATCCAACTGGGGTTTTCTCACAGATAACCTTTCATGTATTCTAACCCATTCTTTTAAAAAATCTACTTATGTATTTGAACTGAGCTGGTCTTTGACTGTAATCAAGTTTTATCTGTCTGTTATCTAGTTGTCCAACCAATTTTCCTGAATGGTTCCTCAGTCAGAACTATTCGCATGATTAAGGAATCTGCATGGAATGTACTGAACTGAGATGTCAATAAAGCAATCGGTTATATTTTCCAAGCTATTGTTACCAGTATCTCTGATTAGTTTAGAACATTATACCATGCCTAAAGTCATCAAGATGCCATTATAATAACATCATCTGGAAACCTAATACTCTGTACGCATGTTTTAATTATTGTACTATTACATTACTATTTTAATTATGGTAAGCTGTCCTGAGACATTTTATCCAGAAGGACAGGGTAAAGATGGTTTAAATAAATACATACGTGACTGGAAGGTTGTAACAGTGTCTGTACATTGACTGTGATTTTGTAGTTGACAGTTAGAACTGCTACCTGGCTGTATGCTGCGGTAAGTCACTGCAGGGATCTTTCAATAAACTATTGAGGTTCAAGAAGAAAGGGGCATTTCCTTACTGCATCTGGTTGTCCTGTCTCACAGCTGCTATCAAGGTGCCCAGACACAGGCCTTCAAGAGAATTGCTTCTCACCAACAGGTGTTCAGCGATAGACTGCCCCTGAACCTGGAGGGTCGATATCAGGAAGCTGCAATAACAGTGCCCACCCCCACATTTTGGGGCAGAGGAATCCCCTCCAGACAGTACCTTTCCTGCTTCTCTCTGCCTCATTCCAGGGCTCTGGCACGCACTTGTGCTACACTCTGACTTTGCCAGGGAGGTGCGGTCAGGGAATGAATCAGAAGCAAAGGTGGGTGAAGAGGACACGGAGTAGCTGCCAGAAATTCCAGAAGCAGCTGGAGAAGGAAAACAGGATTTCAGTGCATTTTTAAAGGCACAATTTCCTTGGCAGGGCTATGCCTCGTGTTAGAAAGGGAGAGATCTGAACGAGGGGAGGGGAGGGGAGGGGAGGGGGGCTCATAGAAGCGAGGTCTAACGTCAAGGTTGCTGAGCCCCCCGTCTGGCAGGACTGAGCAACAAGTCCCCGAACCCCCCTGAGCTCATGGAGGCACGGGATGCTGGAAGCTGTGATCCAACTCTGCTGGTGCAGAGGATTTGCTCTTCCTTTCTGCAATCCGTGTTGTCGGCCAAGAAAACGAAAACCCACACGCTCTTCTCATCAGATGTGTGGGCCGAAAAGGGAGACGCCCCCATTCTCTTTAGCTTCCTGCTTTCAGCCCTCTTTAAATAAACAAACTGTGTAATAATCTGTAACAAGGCGACAGGGCAATGAGCCGAAGCTTTGCACAGGTTGGAACGGCCTTCAGGAAGCTTTGGAGCAAAGGTGGCCTCCTCCAGGGGGAACCAGGAATACCCCTATAGCCCCCTGTGGGCCATTCCCAGGAGGGAAGCTGCCCCACACTAAGGGGGCAGGCCAGGCCTGTATCTCCACCCCTCATTCCCTCCCACCACCCTGGCTTCAAAAGGCCCATGGTCTGCAAAGCTGCACCCCCACCTGCAACTCTGCTCCAAACAGGTTTCAAACTCCTGGACTAATTTACACGAGCTTATATTTTGCAAAGCAAAATAACCACAGAGTGCAGCCCCTGGGCCCCTTTGATATGCGCACCAAGTTTTGGCTTTTTCTGTTTCCTATGTTTTGGAAACGGTGTGGAGAGAGCTTTGGTGTGGGGTCCACCTCTTCCTGCCCACAAAATGAGCAGGATTTCCTTCGAGACAGGTGGCCAGGATCTTTCCTATAGCACTCATTCATTCTAATTTATTTTTTCCTGTCTTGTTTCCTCTCGCAAGGCAGCTTACACCACCCGTTTCTAGCCATTGAAGCTCACAACAACCCTGTGAGGTAGATCAGGCTGCTGCCTGGAGACAAGAATCTGCATCTTTCACCCTCTAACCTCTGCTCTGCACGTTCAAAACCAAACACTTTTCCAAGATGTAAACCAAACCTCGAACAAAGAACGAGGCGATAGTAAACATCAGCACCCCCAGTATTAAAGCTCAGCTTTTAAGTGTTTAAAAACTCAGAGGCTGAAAGAACAACACAAAAGTTAACACAAGAAAACAACACACGAGCAAACACAACACTTTTAAAAATCCAAAACAAATTGCAGATGTTCTATTGAAATAGCCCATTTTCTCTGTCAAAGGAGGGTTTAAATGTAAAAACAAATAAACAAAACCCTCTTTGGGGCTCAAGTAAAAGAAAAAAAAAGGAAGGGAGCTAAGTCACTGATTAGGCTGGATGTGCACATGGTGGGCATGTCGTGAGCGGAGCCGGCTGGTGCCGGAGGTCAGACTAGATGGCCTGGGAGGCCCCTTCTGACTCGCTCTGCTTCTTTGTTTCTATCCAAGAAAAGTGGGGGTCACACTGAAAAGGCCCTGCCTCGTGTTCCGGCCCACCTGGGGGTGCTTACCAGCATCTTGGGTTGCATCCGTTCCCGGCAGCTGAGCCCCCCTCCCCAATTAATACATTAAAGATGGCTGCCGAGGGTGGCATCCAGCCCCCGTCAAGCATTCATCTCTGCTGCTCTTACCCGAGCTTTGAGATGGAGTTGGAGAGCTCGGGGCCATCTCCAGGTGCAGCCCGGCCTTCTTCCGCTGCGCCTGCAGCTCCAGCTCCCTCTGTAAATCCTCCTGGATTTCTTGATCGATGAGAGTGGACGTCCGGGCCCTCCACGTCTTGAGAGTGTACAGCTCCTGCTGAGGAGTGACTTGGCCAGACCTCTGCTCTCGCCTCAGCATGCTGGGAAGGCTCTGGTCTTCGGAAATCAAGAAGCGGACCTTCCGAATCGGAATGGTGAAGTGTTCCTTCCGTAGCACAAACCCTTCTCCCGGGTGCCTCTCCCGAAAGCCAGAAGGTCTCAGAGCAGAAGGATTCATCTTCTGATTGCTACTGGTGAAGGTGTGACTCGCGGAGGACACTTCATCCGCAGGTCGTCTTATGCCAGCACCGGGGGCTGGGGAGGGCCGGCAGGCCTGAGCCCCCGAGCTCATCGTCTGCTCAGTGCACTGGTGCCCATCACTGGTCTCCGGGGCAAAGCTGTGGAGAGCTGGCACGGGCTCAGCGTTCAGGGGCTGCTGCTGCTCCACGAATTTCAGGGGCTTGAATGGAATTTCCTGCCAGTACACCAAACCTTCCCAGTGACCCGCAGGCTGTGGGCAGGATCCCCCGTTACGCATCTGCAGCAGTTTCCTTTCCTTCTGGAGGTTCTCCTCGCGCTTGCTTTCCTGCTCAATCTCCCTTTGGATGTAAAAGGAAGCACGTGCCTTCTCCTTCCCCTTCCTGGAGGAAGTTGGAGAAGAGAACGGGGAAAGGAGTAGTGGCTTGGCGTGGATCTCCACCAGCTCATCTCTGCTGCTCGCCGGTTGGATTCCCCGCTCTTTCCAAAAATTCTGCTCCCGTTCCATGCTCAGCCGGATCTCCCGTTCTATGGGTGTCTCATCACGGGCCTCCCTTTCTCTGGCCGTGGCTGCTGAATCCAGAGACTCTTTAAACGTGGTCCGGGTTGCTTTTCCGTCCAGAGCAATGCTGCTCATGTCCTGAGGTGCTTTCCCCAGGGTGGATCCCAGATATTCCCCATAAGGGTTTTGGTCCACTGTGCCTGCATCCTCAGAAGCGCCTCCTCTCGGGAAGATGAGAAGGCCGGTCCTCTCACTCGGGCCCCCTGGTCCTCGTGGGTCGTGGCCCCCCACAGGACCCCACTGCCATTCCACTGTTCCAGGGCTCCAACATCCTCTCCTCGGAGCCACTTTCGTCACCCGCTTCCTGGGACCCAGCAACATGCCCGAATTTGCCTTTTCCCGGTCGAGGAACTGCTGGCGAGCGGCCACAAAATTGATCTGCTCCGTGTCTATATTTTCGGGATCGACCGGGCTGCTCACCCAGTTGGGAGAAGGGCTGTCGAAACAAATGGCGAACCCCGTGGAGTAGCTTCGCGGTGGGACCGCCTCCTTGGCCAGGGTGGCCGCATGGATGGCGTCCAGCTCGTCCATGGAGTTCCACCGCTCGGCCATGGTGGTGCTTCTCCTCACGACCTGGCTCTTGATAATCTTCCGTCTGTCCTCCTCGAGTTCTTTCACTGTCTCCAGCGTGACCTCCTCGGGGGCAATCTTGTACCGCTGCTCGTCATCGTCATCGTGAAGTCTAGAGGGCTTCTTCTCCCCTTTATAAGCCCGGATGCTGTAGAGGGATTCTACCTTGACCACGTTCAGTTTGGATTCCCGGTCTGGCGGAGGTGTCCAGAGACCCTTCCACTGATGTGTGGTTGTTGCCTCCCATGTGGACCGATATCCCTGGGGGCTGATCATCCCAGTTCTGTTTCCAGCGTGCTCCAAATGAAGATATTCATCACCCTTGACCTCACATGTCGGTTCTTCCTTTTCCAGTCCATTCTGTTCTTCGTATTTGGGGTCTGTGTTCTGAGAGATGCTAAAGAGAAGGCTGCTGGTGGCTTGATGCATTTGTGGAGGAGATGTCTTGTGTCCTTCTTCGACTTCTTCTTCTTCTTCTTCTTCTTCTTCTTCTTCTTCTTCTTCTTCTTCTTTTTCTTCTTTTTCTTCTTCTCCTCCTCTTTCTTCTTGGGGTTCAGGTGGACAGTCCTTGGCTAAGGTGGTCTCTTGAGTTATCTGATTTTTCTGAGCATTCTGCACATTAAGAACAGAAGTGTGTAGTCTCTGAAGACGAGACAAAGCAGGGGAGGTTAATATACATTCCAAGAAACAGCAATCAACAGTAGAAGGACCAAATCAGCAGACATTCAGGCTGCAGGATGTTCTACCACTAGGCTATAGTCCTTTCCCCTGAAATCAAGTAAGATTCTAGTCCTCATGTTTCCAAACAAAGGGCTGATTTTAAATAGGAAGCCGACCCTTGTCCATCTAGTCTGTTCTAACCAACTCTAAGTGTTCAGGATCTCAGATAGGGAGGTATCTTTCCTGTTACCTGGTATCTGGTCCTTTTGGTTGGAGAGACAAAGACTCAACCTGCAACCTTTGGCATGCAATGCCAATGCACCACCCCAATCTAGAGCATCTGTTCTAGTTGACCAACTCGCACCATCAATATTTTCATTTTTGGGTTGATTACGTTCTTTCTCCAAAGGACCTATCTTTACTTTGCTTCACATTTGCACCTCAAAAACTCTCTGAGGTGCATTAGGCTGAGAGAGAGAGGAAGGTTTGATGACAGAGTAGAGATCTGAACCCAAGTTTTCCTGCTCTAGTCTAAATCTATGACCACTACACCATACAGCCTGTTGCTAGACTGCGGTAAAATGTCCTCCACTCTAAAGCGCAGTGCGGTCGTAAAAATTAGCAGCTACTGCCCTCTTCTGGAAGACAGGAGAATATCTACTCACGAGTTCCGCAACGTTCTTTGGCATTATTTATTTAATTTCTATACCACGCAAAAACTGAATCTCTCTGGGCAGTGAGCAGCTGTTCATAAATACAATAAAATACAACAGAAGACATCAATAAAGTGAAGCCTGAAATCACAGTTTTAAAATAAAATATGAAATAGGCACCCTTTTGTAAATAAAATGCAATTCAAAGCATGCTATAAAACAATAAAAACATAATGAAATTACACTTATGCTGTCTTAGCCAGGAGATCACAATCTGGTTTTCTAGAACTGCCCAAGTTCTTCACCATTTTTGTAGGGATGGAAAAGAAATGAAAACCCAAAGAAGGAGGTCATAACACAGCACCACAGTCATAAAAGGCAGCAGACTTTGACCCAAGTATTGAGTGAAACTCAGTCCATTTCCAGAACTCAATAAAGCCAGTTGCTAGTCAGCTTGTGAGAATGGAAATAGTAAAAATGACTGAGGAATGAAACAATTGTCATTGTTTTCTCCTAATTCTTTTTTTAAGCTTGTTTTCTCCCTCTTTTGTGAAGAAATTTGCCAGTATCGGCCAACATTTGTCAATGGCTAAAATTAAATTCTCATAAAAGCAGAGCTTTCTCAAAGCCCAAACTGAGCTGAATTTTTTTTACCCATCTGCATGGGCCAAATTCCATAGGCACAACAATTCCCAGCAAGGCAAGGACCTACTATGCAGCTGTTGAAGATGAGGAACCAGTCGGGGGGAAAAAGTGGCTCCCTGGTTCAGTGGCACTAACTTGAATGAATAGATAGGAATTTGAACCCTGAGCTCAATGCTCAAAGCCCCTCTGCATGTATAGAGGGGTCTGTTTTGCTTTCCTTCATTTCAGCATCTCAGAAATCTCATGTTCTTTCCATCCATTTAGGAAGGAATGTGCAAAGTTCAGTATATTATTTTTTTATAAAGCAAGCAAACTGAACTAAATGCTCACCCACCTTTATTGAGGATGAGCCATTGTGGGTTGGATAGCAACAATCTTTCCCCCTTTGAAATTCTCCCTGGATTTTGCAGCACCAAATCCCAAATTCTCCCTGGATTTTGCAGCACCAAATCCCAAATTCTCCCTGGATTTTACAGCACCAATTCCAAATTCTCCCTGGATTTTGCAGCACCAAATCCCAAATCGTCTCAGGATTTTGCAGCTTTGATCCCACACTGGAATGGATGCTTTAGGGATCCTCCACAGTTCTGTTTATTTGTGAATATGGCAATGCAGCACCTACGAGTTTATTTGTGTTAAGAGCCTTTTCTTCCATTAGTGATGCTCATGGGAGCCCTGATAATAAAAAGCTAACAAATTGCTTGGATAGATTTGGGATAATCTTACTGCAAAGAAGCCAATGGCTTATTTTCTTTCTTTCTGCCGAAGGACCAGTGGCCCTTTTCTATTGTTATAAAAGCTAACCAACCCTTCCCTCCGGTTCCATTAAGCCTGGCTAATGGCTTCAAAGGACCAGCAGGTGCTTTCTTAATAGTGACAGAACACTTTTCTTTTCCGAGGGTTTGTGAGGCTAGTGCTGAGGCAAGGGACGAACGGCAGGGGCAGCGGAGACAGAGAAAGGATGGGGAACTGCACCCAGACAAAATGCTTTTGCAACAGAGATCAACGCAAATGGGAAAGTATATGTTGCATACATCCATCACACACCTCCACATCCACTGTGTGCCGGGAGACGGCTGGGCAACAAGATCCCTTTTTGAGAGACTGGTAAAAGCAAAGACGCACCCAATCCATGCACAATGGAGAGGGGCCGAACAGAGAATTTTGCTTGCTTCTGTGGAAGCCGGGGATTTGTCAGCCTGTGTGTTGCATGGCACCCTTAATTTCTGCCAAGCAAGATGGTTTTTGTTTGTTTGCCACCCAACCTTAGTTGGGGCTGAAGGGTTCTAAGGAGGCAGGTTGGAGAAACAGGGATGAAGCCACATGGTAAGAGTCACATCCTCTGGGTTAGGGTTTCTCCCAGCAGGAAGAACAATGCCAGCCTTGTTTAATTCTAACCTCACTGTAGGAACACAATCTATTTTGTATGTTGAGCTCTTCCATGCCAAATGCAGAATGCCGGATTGTTGCTTCGCCTTTCCCACACACTGTGCAAGCTACTAGTCCTCAGGGTCATCATCGTATTTCTATCTTATTGTTTATTTATTTGAAACGTTTAGATGCCGTCCCTTATGCATGGCATCTCAGGGTGGCTCACAAGCTTGCCCTTTGCTGCAAAGAACCCAAGGCAACTAACAGAGTCTACTTTTCCATTTTGTCTTCACAACAACTAGAGCTGGGTCAGTGTCTCAGTGGGGCAGTCTCTCTCCATGTGAGTGAAACAGCTTGGGAGTGTGTGTTGTTTAGGGTTTGAGGAAGGGTCGGTGTTAGGAACCACTTTACGGCTTCGTTTGGTCCAAGTCTGGTTTAAAGATGACATCTCAAAGGGATGCTTTTTTTTGGAAAAGTACAGATTGTACATTCAAGGGGACAGCATCGATCAATGCAACGCCTGTGTTGCTTCTGAGGGTTTTCTAAAATGTTTCACAGCTCAGTTGCAGCTCTCGGAGAAGGAAAAAATTGCTTTTTAAAACACCTTTGGCCAAATCTCTATATTTAAAATTACAGCCTTGATTTTCAAATTTACACATTAGGGGGTGCTTCTCAAGGACATTTATATAAAGCTGGAACAGTGCAGAAAGTTCTCTGTACTCAGAACTTGGACTTGGCCAAATACTTGGCTTGGCTTGGTAGGAGATCTGGTCCTGGCCAACAAAAGGAAGTGGGGAGAGGCTTATGGGACGCACAAGATGCGAGGATGGCTTTGAAAGGAATTGGAAACATTCATGGCAGCAGAGGGAATTTCTCTCAGTGGCTGTTACTGGTGCCTAGCCACGATAGCAAAGTTGAGCCTCCAAATTCAGGGGTAGTCTACCAGATTCTGGGATATGACAAGGGTGTGACCTTTGTGGAGCTTCCCAAAAGCGGCTAGTTGGCTGTTGAAAAGACTGAGCCTTTCCTCGGTGCCTGCAAAAACTTTGTTATGATATTTCTTGCATGGAAGCTCCCCGTGTGGAGCAGTCTACCTCGCAAGACGGGTTGCCGGCGGACAGACGCAGTGATGCATTTTGCTGTCCTGTCCATCCGTGGGCTTCCTGGAAGCCCCTCTCAGGTGCAATAACAAAGGAGCTCTTTCAGGACAGTGGCCCAAAATGTGTTGGGTTGCACAACCTGCCACTTCTAAAGGTGCTTCTGAAGGAGGGAATGGAATCCCGTTTCATTCCGCAAGGTGAAGGTAGGGCAAGAGCCTGGCTGAGCTGCACCCGTCTCTCCCAGGTATTTCCACCTTGCCAGATTCCTTTCAGGTGCACTCATCTCACCAGCCCTCTGCCTTCCTCTTTTCTGCCTGACCTTTGGTGGTAGCAAAACAGGACGTTTATGATTTCCTGGCAGCTTATCTCAAGCAGGGAAGTCAAAAGTCCATCAGGGCCGGGTCCCTGGGATTGCGTGGAATGCCAGCTGGCAATTTGCTAGCGGTCGGTGCTCCACACTGGCATGCTGCCGCCCGCCCGGCCTTCCTATCTCCCAGGGAGCTGGCCCTGGCAGGGTCAGGGGGCTTCGAGAAAGTCTCCCACCCTGCCCAGCCCGCACAAAAGCACTGGGCGACTTGGGACGCGACACGTGTGCGAACGAGGAAGCCCCCTCCATTTTTTGGCAGCAGGGCAGGAGGCCAGCACAGGCCTTCGATATTACCCAAGAGCCCGGCAGCGAGTTCATTTGGCCTAGCTACCCCCAATCTAGTCTCTTCCCAGTGTGTGCACTACAACTCCCATCTTTCCAGCCCTTCTGGTAGAAGTTGTAGCCAGACATCTGGTCTGGGTTTGGTGTCCACGGTCTGAGATTGGAGTGCCCCCCTCAGAGAGAGTTTTTTCCATTACATGTTGTTGTTATTCTTATTCGACCAAAGTGGGAGGACTCCATTTCATCAAGTGTTTTGTTCTGCGCCATGGACATCTGGATGACTCGGGGAACTGAACGCAAAAGCCCTCTCCCCCCTGCCCTTTTAAGTATCCCCAGCATCTGGGCTTTTGGGCTGCACTGCTCCTGAGCCTGGGGGTTCCACTGAGCCATAAGAAAAACCTTGTTGGATCACCCAGATTGCTATTTCTTCCTTGGAGTGAACCCTCATGGCACTCTGGCATACAGTTCCTACGCATTTTCAAGCTTTCGCTTAAGGACTAGCCACTTAAGCATTTAAATTGGGCCATAAGCTTCAGGAGCTCCGCTCCCCAGCAGGCACTTGATTCCAGAGGCATGTTATGCAACAGAATCTAGCGTAGAAACACCAAGCGCAAGAGCACATCACGCTTAACTTCGTTAGACAAACCCTGAAGACCCACCCTTGACGAATCATGCCTATCAGGCACCCTGCACTCACCGACCCATCGAGGGTGTGCATAGCCCATCACTCAGCTTGCCCAGAGACGCGTCGCTGTTTGTCCTGGCCAGACCTGCCCTTGGTCAGGACGCTCGCTCTGCTTCTCAGCCCAGAGCAAAGAGCATTTCCCAGCAACCGGAAGCCAGGGACTCTTCACACAGGAGGCCTCCTAGGGGGCTTCTGGCCCCAGAGGTATTTGCGAGCAGTCCTGGCAGAGTGGAACTAGGTTGTGAAAGGGAGGGGCACGGACACTGTGAAGCGCCAGGCTGCGTCAGCCTGATAAGCTCTTTCTACCCTGCTACGCAGAACAGAGGAAAACTCCAGGAACTTGCTGCGGAGGAGAGCAAAAGTAATTTTTAATAAAACTGACTCTGGGGCCTCCCTCTGGCACCTGCCACTCCTTCCGCTCTCTCTGGGAGTGCAGGCGAGATCTGCCATGCACGGGCGCCCCCAGAGCTGAGATGCCCATGTGGCTTTCGACCAAATTTCCTTCCCCCGACTCCCAGTCCTAATCTAGGGTTACACAGTTCAGAACCAGCCAAGGTCACTTTGGTTTCCATGGATGATGCCTCTCCAGGTGCAAGAGAAATAAAACCAACCACGACAGCAGCAAAACTACAAGGAAGAACTTGCCGGGAGTGGGGGAAAGCGAAAGAAAGTTATTTCTTCGTTTTGGCCGTTCTAGTGGTACGCAGATATGCTGCCCTTGGCCATGGAAGTTCTACACTGTTTGCATGGAGTGGGGTGCATTGCTTTTGAATTCTGCTTCTGCCCTTGGTTACTTTTTCAAAGCATCCCCTTACTCTCTTCAGGTTTCTGGTTGGGTTTAATTGTCCCCGCTGCTACCCAATCTTTTCTGCTGTGTTCAGTTAACCAGGATGTAGCATGCCTTGTTTTGGCCTGCCATTTCCAGAAGACAAGGCAGGATATTTAATTTTCTCTCTCTCAGATGCATCATAATGCATATATCTCAGATCTCATGCTTCCTAATGCACTTCAGTGCAGTCCCAGTAACTCTAGTGCATTGGATCAAATTCAGGGCCTAGTGTTATCGCTTTGGTGATGTGATTGATGGCAACTGAGTTATTTTGCACACAGAGAGAAGGAGGATGGGAAAATGTCTCATAATGCATAATTATCTTTTGGTTTTTGATGCTACAATGAGGGCTAATTGCAAGGTACATAACACAGTTTATAAGACTGTGAAAGTTGGAAAGGGCCATACTTAAAGACAGTGTCTATCAATACTATTTTTGATAGACTTATTTTATACTGTTAATGTATTTTATTTTAATTGAAATATCTATGTTGTGAGCCACCCCGAGGCTTCGGCGAATGGGCGGCATAGAAATTTTCTAAATAAATAAATCAATAATAAATACTAGGACTTGGGCACTGGAGATTCAGGACAGGCACAAAATGACAACTTCAACATGAGGCTGCATAAAAATCACAGGTCCTGAGTCAGGTCTTGGGTTCTTATCCCATATCTTGCCATTTTCCTCTTGGGATGAACCCAGAGCCACTTCCACCCATTTTATCCTCACAAAAACATTCTTGTGAGGTAGGTTAGGCTGAGTGACCAGCCCAAAGGCACTCCTTGAGCTTCATGGCTGCATGAGGACTAGAACCCTGAGAGGCTTATTTACACTGAAATTACACTAATAAGCTAAAGCAATTTAAACAGAAATGCAATACAGCTCTCCCTGGAGAGAAAGACTGGCCCAGCTTTCTTGCTGCTCGGTTTGTCACTGTCCAAGTGCTTAAGTATGGGGTGCTCAGGGGGAGCCCCAAAGAGTCCTTTATCTTTAAAAGTCCTTTAGGGTCCTTTGTCTTTAAACCCAGCCCGTCAAATAGAGAACTGACCTCCAGAAAGCGGACCAGCAACTGCCCTGCTTCTCTGCGAAATGATTTGCCCTTTGAAGTTCAGACTCACAGCTGAATGAAGTGCCTGCAAGATTAGCTCTGGACGCTTCTCCCCCAGGAAGAAATGGCTGCAGACAGCAGCTTCTTTGGTGTGGAGGCAATTCTGAGCTTGGCGTGTCAGGATCTGGCCGTGTTCCTGACGGGCATATTTTAAAGGCATCCTTGAGACAAAGTCCACGGCTTCTGATGAGTACGCCCCACCCTCAAGACAACGCAATTGTGAGTCAATCGAAACTGGGTGGATGGATTCTCTTTGCTGAGCACTTCTCTGGGGTTGCATGGTAAACTCTGATCGATGGAATATCTCCTCGTGTTGCCAGAATTTTTGGCTAAACAATTCCAGCACTCACAATGAGTTAGGCTCTGTATGCTGGCTTTCCTGGGAAAGACTCGCTCTGCCACACTAGCAGGGGGATCAATTAACTCAGCTTTCCCCGACCCGAGGAAAAGGCTTATCAGAACGCAAGCAACGCACCACTGGATCCAGTCCAAGCTCCACCTAGTCCAGCACTCCAAGCATGTGCTGGCAAACCAGCTGTGTGTAGGATCCCTCCAGCAGGACGAGTACAAGACCGCCTCCCACCCAGCGATGAGTGTGTGCAGGTGGGGCGCTTCTGGGGAAGGAGGGAGCCCATGGCCAGCAAGGCTAGTAGCCACGGAGAGCCTCCTCCCTCATGAATCTGCCCCATTTTCTTTTAAAGCCACCCAGGTGGGTGCTCCTTTTCACTTCCCGTGGCCACAGATTCCACAGTGTATATGATATGCACATCCTTCTTTGGATCTGTTCTGACTCTCCCACCCATCCCCTTCCTGGGGTGACCCCTTTGGGCTTTAGTCTCATGAGAGACAGAGAAAAATCTCTCTCTCTCTCCCTCCCTCCCTCTCCCTCTCCCCACTCCATGCATAATTTGAAACACCTCTATCAAGGCTTGCTTGTTTTCTCAGCTAAACACTCTCAGCTAAACCATTTTAACTCCTCATTTGGCAGTTCTCCGACCCCTTGCTCATCTTAGCTGCACTTTTTTCAACTCAATAATCTCCTTTATCAGGTAAGGAGACCAGAATTGTACACAATATTCTAAGCGTGGGACCGCCAAGGAGTTGTATAAGAGGACCTTGCGATCTTGGCAGCTCTATTTTCAGTTCCTTTCCTAATCACGCCTAACCCAGAGTTTTTCTTTTTCACGGCAGCTGTGTGCTGGGTTAACACTTTTATTGAGTTTTAATCAGCCACTTGTTCACCACTGCTGCAGAACCCAGTGGGACCCCAGAGTTAGCATTATCCTTTAAAAGCAGGCATGGCTTTTGGGGGGCAGACAAAGAGAAACAAGAGAGAGGGAGAGAGGGAGGGAGGGAAATTGGATCTTGCTGGGTAAGGGTGAGAGGTCTTGCTTAAGCCTATGAGCAATCCTTCAGCCCCATAACTTTCTGAAAAATTTCTGCCTCTGACCCAACCTGTCTGACCAGCAACGGCAATGGAAGTAACAAACAATCTGGCAATTTCACTTTCTCATTCTTTAGTCCTCAATTCAGCTCACCCTGAACTTTAAGAAATGTTCTTAAAGAAGAAATCTGCATGAATGTTTGTGCACTTTTTCATATATGTTTCTCTCACATAACTAAGAGACAAACCTCTGCAAGCAATTTTCCTAAAATAATGCATTTTTTTAGATGGAGGGAGGATATAGAAAATGTTTTCCATTTTTTTGTGTTAGATTTGTGTAGTTAAAAATCCCTCCCTTGCACTGGATGCTAGACTTGAGTCACCAGGGCTATTTATACACACTTATGGCATTAGACAAATTCTTAGAAGAGATGCCTGTTAACCCTGATTGCCAAGAATAGAACCTCCATGTTTAAAGAAAGTGTATCTCAAAAACATAAAAATGTTTTAATAAATAAATAAAATAAATAAATAAAACAGAGGTGGACATCAAGGCAATTGCTCTTGTGCCCTTCCCATGGGCATCTCACAACCTCCAGGCTGCCCACTGCTGGAAACAGGTTGCTGGGTTCAAGGAGCCCATCTTCATCTGGTTCAGGAGGGCTCTTGTGTTTTTAGGGTTCCCACAGAGACTTTGGATGGGTTCTGCTCCACAAAGGCAAGAACCATTTTGGGAAAGCAGCAAATGCATTTTTAGGAAGAATAATTCCTTACCTGGGACTCCAGGACTGTGCAAAGGACCTGCCATGGAGGCGTGTACTTAAACATGTCTGCTCTCAACACAGGACTCCCCGGGACGTTGTGAAAGACAGCAGCACTCACTCCCAAAGCAGTGGGCTTCTTCAAGGACACCTGGCTGCACGTGACCCATCCAGATTGAAAGCAAAACTAAGGGAGACGCCGATTGTGGGTTGATGTGCAGGTGTGTGCTGAGTCCACACCCAGTCCTATGCGTAGGAGCCTCTTCGTCCTCAGGGAAGGGGTAGTTCAGAAAGACCAGCATGGGTCTGGGAGCAAATATGGGTCAGAAGCAACATGGCTTGAGCAACAAGTATCTCTTTTCAGTCCTGCTGCATTTCTGCCAAGCAGAAAAGTTTCCTAAAGAGAAGAGGGAACTGACAAGGTCTGCAAGGCATTTGCGAGAGAGAGATTTAGGCATGCAGATAATTTGCCTCTCCCCCTTGGAATGCAGGTTCTTGTGGGGAAGGGAAATGGGGGAGCCGGAGAAGCTGATGCCAGCCCCATCGGAGGCCAGGCTGGTATCACTCAAGGCAGCAGTGTGGAAAGACCAAGAGGGGCGAAAATAGAGATGACAGAAACCATCTCTGGAGAACTCTAAGGAAAAACTCCTCTCGAGGGGAATCGTATGAGAAAAGCCTGCATTACTAGAGAGTGAAGTGTGAGCGGGTTTATAAATGCGTGGAAGTAATACAGTCCTGGAGCAGATGGGGATCCCACAGAACTATTCCAAGCTGCTGAGAGGGAACTGTCCAAATCCCAACAAAGATATGGGAAACAAACGAACGGTTTGTGAACTGGGAACCTTTAAGACACATTAAAATCCCCAAGAAAAGAGGTGCCAGAGAGAACCAAAGTACAGGCTTATTACACCTACTTCCCCATGCAAGCAGAGCAAAGCTCAAGGAGTTACAAGAAAGACTTTTACGCTGCAGATTCTGAAAAGGGAAAGTGCCTGAGAATATGCTGCAAATATAAGTGGAAGTTGGCATCAGTTATTTAAGATATGCAGACAATACCTGGCAAGAAACAGCAAGGAATGGAAGCGACTCCTGATTAAAGCGCAAAAGGAACGTGCAGAAGCAGGAATGCAGCTGAGATTTAAGAAAA